GCTTTAAACATAGTTATTCGTATTTCAACAATTACAACGTATCTCTATGCAAGAAGGCCTTTTAAATGCATATTTCGGCATAATCCACTCACATCTGATCTATAACGTCATGATTTGGGAATGATCATGCCACCTTGTGCATGCACTCAAAATGCACTTTGCTATACAGGGTGACTTTGAAGTTGAGTCATTAATTTTCAGATAATGATTGTAGAAGGAAGATAAACCAAAATATGTATTTAAAAATTAAAAAAAAATTTTACCTTGTTTTATAAAGTATCCTCCCAACAAGTATTTCAGTGCGGACCTGTATTTGATCGTGAGGTCTTGGAGCACCGGCATGCTCTCTCCTGTGAGGTCTTAAGTCTCCTGATTCACGAGCCCGTTGTACTACATTAACAAAGGCACGAGGGGTTGGTTGATTGGGAAACCGATCCGCATAAACATGTGCCATTTTTTATTTCGTTTGAGCCACGCAGCAAACACCACTATTCACTCACGCGTTACCGACTGACACATCGACTGAATAAAAACATCGTGATCAGCGTTCCAAATTCTTTCGCTTTTTGTTTCCGATGGGATGAACCGATAAGGCGGATTATATCCGTTGTTGCCAAACACGAGCACATAATATTATTATTGAGACAGGGCGGTACTCAAACTTCTAAAGGGCTATAACTTTGTTACTTTAATTTTACCAGAAAAATGTTAAAGGAAAAAAACATTTCTTTTGATCAGATCTACTCACTGTTAAAATAAATGACTCAACTTCGTCACCCTGTATATTCATGCTACACCATTCAATCGGAAGTCCACAACCATGATACAAGGCAGACTGGAGGCCGAACACTGCCACTTTATAGACTAGAAATTCATTTATTCTAAATGTTTACAATAAACTACCTCAGACCATCCGTGAGCTGAATTACATGCAATTCAAAACCGCCTTTTCTCTGTTGAGGATTTTTAAATTACAATTTTTAGTATTTTTTGTGATTTTTTTTTGTCTCATGTGCACTCGTTTTTTCATTGTAAATGTACGACTTCCTGTTACTTTATGATTTCTGCATCCAATGACTTGTCATACATATATATGATCAATAAATTATCTACATCTATACTAGCTGCACGCAAACGTATCCAAACTACCCTACTTTTATGATTGTTCCTTTGTCAGGGTCAGTCATTTCCTTCTGTGGAATTACATTTCCAATTATGCATTTACTTTGATGAAACAAGCATTGTGGCTAATTAAATTTGGACAATTTTTGATGAAGGAATGCAGATTCTATAAAATGTAAGCAATGTGGTAAAAATTCCTCACAGAATGAATGGGGCACTATTTAGCTGAAACTTGAACCTTAAATTAAACACAGAGTGATAACAATGAACAACTACTGTTACTGGTAAAGGATGTTTATCTAAAAAGCCAACAGTTGACACTTTTGCAATTACCACTAACAGACTCTTTGAAAAATAAAGATTCCTGGCATTATAATGAAACTAAACAGAAACGAAATTGATCGATTAGTAGCTGAGCATTGTAAAGCTCACTCATTTAACTTTGTGGAAGGTGAGAGGGTCCAAAGTTCATACCTGATAGCTTTTAAGGTTGTGTTTTAGTTGTTAATTTGTCGATAATAACTGTTATCTGTGTGATGAGAAACAGATTCCAAAGAGCCTTCAGTTCTCAAAATATGTAAATTATTTGAGACAGTGGAAGATTAAATGCTTTTGGACACTACAATATACCGTTGAAAGTGCAGAAATGTAATAAGTTTTTTCAATAATATTCATTAGATAGTTGCCAAAATTTTCCATCAACTTCTCTAAAAACTCACAATGCGCTGAGAAATTGAACCCTTCAGTAGTTAAAAATAATTTGTATGAGAAGAACATACCTCAAAGTAACTGATAAAAATAAAGAAGTTGCCACTTGTGATGATTTATTGCATTTTTCTGGAATAATGTAACATCTGTATCTGAAACGCGGTATCCATATCGGAAATCATCGACTTTGGTTTGAGGATATATTGCCAGACACAATTTTGTACCCAGATATTATATATTGTTATTGGACTTTGATTATTGAATACGTCGGCAAAATGACAGCGGACCAGAGCGTAGACGTACACGAACTTGTATGTATTACCTACCGAATTATTATTAGTTTTTTGTATTGTATTGTATAAACGTACAATTCTTATACTGTAAGCTGCTATTGCCGGTGGTAGACTTAAGGCCCAGGTTTTGTTGGCCTTGCTTGTCGATATGGCAGTTATTAGTAGGTAGTTTGAATAAGTAATTCAATACTCCATGGTGCATTGGTATTCAAAAGGCGTTTAGAAAATATGAAGGATAACGAAGATATTGTTGTTTCAATAGACCTGATGTCAAGTAAAGTACCACGTACTACATTCACCAAAATTGAAACTATCCAAAGCACTGTTTGACAATCTGCTAGAAATCCGATTTCAAAATCGGTCTGGATATACTCGTAAATAAGTTTTCAAGAAGTGGAGAGAAAACGTCCCTTGACTTAACGCCATCATGTGAAAGATTCTAATTAATTGCAACATATATATATATACAGGGTGACTTTGAAGTTGAGTCATTAATTTTCGGATAATGATTGTAGAAGGAAGATAAACCAAAATATGTGTGTAAAAATAAAATGAAAATTAAAAAAAAAATTTACCTTGTTTTATAAAGTATCCTCCCAACAAGTATTTCAGTGCGGACCTGTATTTGATCGTGAGGTCTTGGAGCACCGGCATGCTCTCTCCTGTGAGGTCTTAAGTCACCTGATTCACGAGCCCGTTGTACTACATTAACAAAGGCACGAGGGGTTGGTTGCACTCGATTGGGAAACCGATCCGCATAAACATGTGCCATTTTTATTTCGTTTGAGCCACGCAGCAAACACCACTATTCACTCACGCGTTACCGACTGACACATTGACTGAATAAAAACATCGTGATCAGCGTTTCAAATTCTTTCGCTTTTTTGTTTCCGATGGGATGAACAGGGCGGTACTCAAACTTCTAAAGGGCTATAACTTTGTTACTTTAATTTTACCAGAAAAATGGTAAAGGAAAAAACATTTCTTTTGATCAGATCTACTCACTGTTAAAATAAATGACTCAACTTCGAAGTCACCCTGTATATATATATATATATATACGTACATGTATAAAGAGAATATGTATATATATACAGTCTACAAGATAGGCTATTTTTAGGACTTGTAATTATTTGGAAAAACTAATCGAAATAGGAAGAATTAGTTGTAATTCTATACACCTATTAGCCATATTTGACCCATCATAGGTTTCCCCTTATACAGAGTCGGGCAAAAGTCGCGAAGGAATTTGAAAAGTTAATAACTTTTTTAAATTCATTTTGTTTTCTTTTTTTTCCAGAACTGCGAAAAATAAATCCGGGAGATTAAGTATGGAGCGTTACAACCTTAATCGACGAACCAAACTTGAAGAATTTTATTTTGAATATCATCATTCAATAATTCAAACTTAACAAGCATATCGTCGTCATTTCAATTTGCTGAATTCGCCCTCTGAATCAATGATTCGACGCTTAGTGGCACGATTTCAGCTACAAGGCACAGTTATGGATCTCCCTCGAAGCGGAAGGCCACGTTCCGTAAGAAATGAAGAGAACATTCAACGCGTTTAGGAGAATCCGGAAACCTTAACCCGAAGACGTTCTGATGAGTCTGAGATGTCTCGAAGGTCTTTACGCAGAATATTAAGACGAAATTTACATCTGTTTCTATATAAAGTGCAGCTAGTGCAAGAATTAAAACCAGCAGATTTCCAAGAACGACTAGCTATGCAGTTCGCTTGCAAAGAATGGCTCGAGAAGATAATGAATTTAATTATTCTCTGATCATGAGCGATGAAGCCCATTTTCATTTGAATGGCTTTGTAAATAAGCAGAACTGCAGAATATGGGGTACCGAGAACCCAAGAGTGGTTCATCAAAGGCAATTACATCCGCTTAAATGTACAGTATGGTGCGCAGTTACGTCTCAACGAATTATTGGACCATTCTTCTTCGAAGACCACGATGGGAATACTGTATCTGTAGATGGCGAGCGATATCGGGGGATATAATTCAAAATTTCTCAAGACCAGCTCTTGCTGACAATCAAGCGATGAGGTTCCAACAAGATGGGGCCACTGCGCATACTGCTCGAGCCACCATGAAACCTTCTAAGGCAGATTTTTGGCGAACGTTTAATTTCGAGAAATTCAGGATTCAATTCGCCCGCCCGCTCGCCGGACTCAACAGCCCCTGATTATTTCCTTTGGGGATATCTGAAAGGAAAGGTGTATGTTAATAAACCCACAACCCTGCAGCAACTAAAGGATAATATTAGAGCAGATATTCTGACTAGGGTCATGGAAAATGCTCTCGCAAGAGCTGCACTTTGCGAGGCTGAAAATGGCGGTCATTTGCGTGATGTAATCTTTCACACTTATATTGTAAACAAACTCCAAATAAGATATTTTAGTTTTGTGTAAGGAAAAAAATTAAAATTAAAATTTAAAAAAGTTATTAATTTTTCAAATCCCTTCGCGACTTTTGCCCCACCCTGATTTGTATTTAAAACTTAAAATGATAGAGAAATGCTTTCGATTCGCGTCTCCTTCCGCTATCTGGCCTCATCGTAACGGTCTGCTTGATTGATCTGCTCTATTACGGCGGTGCTTCGGTGGACGCTGCCGCGTCTGACGACATGGGAAGATGGACGGCAACTACCGGTAGAGCAGGGAAATAATGTCTATGGACTAATTGTATGGGCCTGTTTGACTGACTTGATCCGTTGATTTCGGTATTGTACATTTTCGTAACAATTTTTGTTTTCTCAGAGGATTTTACTTGTATTGAACTTAATCCTTTATGAATAGAAGACGGCGTTGCGTAGGAAGTGCTTAGTCAACATACTTGACGCCATTTTCTTACTTTCGACTTTCAGGTGCACTCTGACTCTGACATTCCTCTCACGTGCAGCGGTTCCGGCAGCTTCCGACGTTTCGACACCGTCGACTGCGACTTCCGAATGAACTTGACTACAGTGGCTCCACCTATCGCGGACTGGACGGGTGTGACGCCTCCAACGGAGGACAACATCCCGCCGCAGCCCCTCAGGCCGGCGCCGGTGCCTGGAGTGACGCCTTCAACAACCGTCTCCGCAAGTGCTGGAGGTGTTTCGGGACATCCTACTACTAGGAGGTCAGTGAGGTAAGGGAGGATAATTGTAACGAATTCTATTTGGACATGTCTTCTATTAAAAAAGGTGTATAACTTCAAATAATCTCTAGAGTTGTGTTGGGTGCTTAAGAGGAAACTGTGGGGCTCATAAACTGATTTGGGGGGGCAATGCAATGACTAAACTGTGTTTTTGGTTTTTCAGTTGCAGGTTAACTACGACCTTGGTCTTAACTTATAGTTATCTATGAAAAAGCATTTTTTAATATCATGTTCATAGTAAGATGGAAGTTAACTTTAACCAGAAGACTATCTATGAGTTAAATAGCAATACCTGACATTTGTTGACACAGACTGGCATTCATTTGGCAATTCAGAGATTCATATCAGTTGATCGATAGCTATAAATTAAAGCCAAAATATGTTTATGGATTACGACGTGATTGCGTATAGCAGAGACGAAGAGGCAAGAAGGACAAAATAATCCTCCATCGTCCGAATTACTTTGACGAATTTGACGACCTGGATTTTCTTGCAACATTTCGTCTTACAAAAAGGACTGTAGAAAAAAAGCTTTCATCTTTCCAGGAAACTAAGCCCCTTTTTTGCTCTCTGTTATGCTCTTGTTTTTCTGACCAATGATACATCTAATTTGTTTTATTTTTATTTTTACGAAAACAGTGCACTCTAGGAAAAAACACAAAAGTAATTGATTGCTTGTAACAGATTGGAGGTAAAATTCGGAACAAACAGTGGCGTACTATTTTTATTTGGAAAAATAATGGAATCAACCCCCGATCTCCGCCACTGGTGCACGTTAATTTAAGGTAAAGACTTTTGATTGAGGAAAATCCACCTACCAAATTTTAGTTCATTTCAGTTGACGGTTTTTGAAACAATGTTTTTATTTTTTAAACTTCAACATCCCGATCTTTTTCATGACGCCCTCGAGGGAAAAATGATACACGAGGACCCCCTTAAAATGCGGTCCTGTGTATGATGTTTCATTTTTGTGAATCACCCTATATAACATTCAACCACGTAACTGCCTATTTCCAGCCCGCGGGAATTTACCCAGCAGAGATGGTGCAACTACAGAACGATCGTGTTCCCACTGTCGAACGACACGACATGCCAGCCAAACCACTCCATTAACTTTGTCGCTTTGCGAACATCAATAACCCATTGTGACGCTGGAACGCGGCGCACGAAGATGAGATGAAGGTGATATTAAAACATGGGCTCCCTCGCTTTGTATCCCTCACCACATATAACCAACGAGAGTAGCTGAAAGGGACGGGAAAACATTCCACTTGTACGTCTTATTTGTTTCGGGGGTTTAGGTAATTTTTATTACAACGGATTATCGATATTTTACCTCCATTGTCAACGAAAAGTTCTAATAGGGTGTTTTATGTCGATTATTTACGTTAAAATAATACCTTGAACACATATTTCGTTCATGAAAATGTCTGTGTTTATTTTTGATTGAATATTTAAAACTGCAATGCCAACGACGTTGATTTAACGCTGTATTTTTTGCGCGATTCGTAGTGACGTCATAACCCTTGACATGTAATTTGTCTGTTTCGTTAGTGCGCCATGGAGGTTCCAAAGGTTATATTTTATATACTCTGGTTTATTATGAAAAGCTATGTACAAAGACACGATAAGGAAAGCACCAGATGAAGTACTTTTTCATATTTTCCGAGATGATAAGGCGAAAATCACACACTCAGTATTCACTGTGATCCGTCAGTATTTACCAAGCAATGTGATATTTATTGACTGTCAGGACTTCGCTTATTATTGTGTTTTTACACCTGAGGCAGAAGCCTAAATGCCAGAGCACCGCGCTGCTATGAGGAGCTTGAGGAAACTTTGTTAAATCGATTTTCGAACTGCCTAGTGTTAGTAGAACTGAGAAAAGCATTCTCATATAATATCTATAATCTCGATATCCTAGGGACAAAGGAGCGGTCGTATCGGCCAGTTATCGATGTACAAAGTTCGACATGCTTGGGATAGGGAGCCGAAGTCAGGCAGGTCTGTCTGGCAGACACATCTTGCGGCGGCATCATGGAGGAGAGCTCTGGGGAGCAAAGCCCGATGACGTAAAAGGTAGCAGAAAGCTAGCTCGCCGACGGCCCGCCGGTGCGAAAGGATCCCTAGACTTTCTATTAGAGAAGATCATCGATCAGTCGGACAGCCCTCCTCCGAACATCATCAAGCATGGATAATGTGTACGGGCGGCAGCACCCCAAACATAAGAGCAGTACTCAAGGCTAGCTCTTATTTGGGCCTTGTTCATAGTGAGGAGTTCATATTGAAAAAAGTACTTTTTGGCCTTAAACAAATAGCCAAGCTTTTTCCCAGCACCGGATGCTATTGACGGGATGTGTTCGTGCCAGACTCCGACTAACAGAATGAGCATCTCTTTGGCATTAAATTGTACCAGATTATTGCGTCCCCAAGCAGTTATAACCTCTAGGTCTCCCGTCAGAGAGGAAGTCGCTGCTAGTCTTCTTTTCTCCAGCTCACCGGCAAAGATCGGTCTGTCACTCGAAACTACTGCATGTAGGGTGCTGTCATCATGCTGAATTAAATGTACAGAAAAGGAGTTAGTTCCGCGTTGCCGTTGTGGGATGAAAAGGAGAACCCGTTAATTGTGACAGATATCTTGTGGCCAGAGAAGAAGCCACCCATATGCAAAACTTCTCTGATATATGAGGTTACGTAGAAATCCACTGATACTGACGAAATGATCAGTAAATACTGATCTGACTTGTCTAAGAGAAAATTGGTGCAAAATTATGATGAGGGATAATATATCTCCAAAAAGTAACTCATAATGTTGTGAAGGTCATTTGAACGTAAGCACAGAACGCATAAACTACGATTTTGGCCAAATAAGTATGATTAGTTTTCATCTGCCTTAAATTACAAAGATTATGTATCTTTTTTTTGCACTTGCTACTTAAAGAAGATTTCACAATATAACACGTTCAGTTATTGTTGATTGCACTGAGGAAAGGAATATCTCAAGAACTAAGTCTGTCTGTGGCCTAAAGTACATCCGATAAATAATTAAATGTTTTCGAACTGCCCAAAATCAAACTGACAGGTTGGCAGTAGTGAATTGGACCGACCAATCAACAAAGGGTTAATAGGTCACACATTGATCGTACATAACATGTTTTATGCTGAGAATGACTGCTAACCTCATATGCAGAGCATTTCTCCCCATTAGGCCTCACCTTTGCTGCTTGCTGGCAACCTAAAAATTTACTCAATCACCAAAGGACAAGACAACATAGAGCTATTGAAGTTTAAGGCAAGGTTACTACTACAGCACTATAGCCACTTCTGTTTGTGTTGAGAAATACATTTATGAGGCAAAACTTCGGTTGGTTATATTTCATATTCACTTATCACACGCTTAGAAGTTTCGTACATATAAATACGTGTAAAATTCTGAGTCAGTCTACTTGATGTCTGTTTCTATTTCAGTTGCACGAACGGTGTAGACCACACGCGCCAGTCAGAATCCTCAGCCGCAGAAAAAACGAGCATTTGTCCGATTCCCAGGCCGGTGTCGTCCATCAACGTGGCTACTTTAATGTCGCAGTCGTCGTTTCCGGTGTGTCTGACGCCGCCCCCCAGTCCTGCTGCCCCTCCTCCTACGCCTGCAGCGACAGCCATTGCGACGCCGGGGCCGTTGACAGCTGTCGCGCCGCCCCTGAAGCTGGCTGGGGTCTATGTGCAACCGAAGCAACAGGTATGCTCCTAGAGTAGAGATTATTTGAAAGTGATAAACTGACGACTAAGTACTGCGCACACAACTGTTCCTTCAGTTGAGTCTTCGTAATTATTTGCCTCGACAATTTTAACAAATTGGAGTGATAAGAGAGCTGATAGATATCTTCCTCAAGGAATAGATCGGCTTATTTGATCTGAGGCTTCCTTAATGATAGCATCTGGCAGGCGAAGTTGTTGCGTTTTGGTGATTAGACAACTAAGCAAATGACTGTTCATCTACCATTCGCAAGTGAAAGGTGATAAACTGACGACTAAGTACTGCGCACATAACTGTTCCTTCAGTTGAGTCTTCGTAATTATTTGCCTCGACAATTTTAACAAATCGGTGTGATAAGAGAGCTGTTAGATATCTTCCTCAAGGAATAAATCGGCTTCTTTGATCTGAGGCTTCCTTAATGATAGCATCTGGCGAAGTTGTTGCGTTTTGGTGATTATACAACTAAGCAAATGACTGTTCATCTACCATTCGCAAGTGAAAATTTCTGCTGCCGAGTGATAAAAATTGCATATTCACATTCACATCTGCTGGAGGCATTGCTTTGCACAGTCGTTAACTTGAAAGCTACCTCATTTCATTTATGTACTTTGACCCTAAGGCCCGGTTTTTCAATCGCAGGATAACTGCAACTTAACTGCTAAGCAGCAGAAAACTATGAAAAAGCGTTTTTCAACGTCAAGTTTGTCCAAAAGCGGTAGTTAACTTTAACCAAGTTGTGATTAAATGTCTAACCTGATATGCTTGACAGAGACATAAGTTGTCATAGATGACACGTGACACAAATACCGAACATTACTAAACGCATAAAACACGATATGGACTGTTAACCAGCACAAAAAAGACGAATTCGCAGGCAACTGATAGTTAACTTCCAAGTCATTGAAACTTAACCAGCGATCGAAAAGATGGATCTTAGTGGTTGATTATGCACATACAGTCATTGTATCTGATGTTACGTCCATGGCCTAGACTCATGAGGCATCTAAGAAGGCCGACAGTAGAGACCGAATTTGATTATTTGGGAAAGCCACTTGTTGCAACACTTAACTAGGAGAAACTGATGACTGTACTATTGTTTAGCTGCTTATTTTTTCTTCAAGGATAACATGCCAGTTTCATGCTAATTTGGCACTTGAAGTTGCATGCCTTCACAGGAATACCAGGCTTTCGATTCCCTTTAGTCAGCTACTCATTGATATCAACTGTGCTGTGTTATATCGTAAACACCGCTACATACATAGAACTAAATGGTAATTTTTTGGACACACTCTTTTTTTAAATATCCTACCGAATTCCCCTATAGGGATATGTGCTCCTAAAGAACGCTATTGGACTATATCCTAATGCAACACTCCTAATTCTAACGCCATGTATAATAATGTTTAGCCAACAGAAAGTGAAGCAGCGTTTTCATGTTGAATAGCGGTAGCCGTGGAATAGATTTGACATTTCGCTAAATTTATCCAACCAACTACCAAATTTGACTGTAGTGAAAACTGCTGTCAAAGTCACAACGCTGCTTCTCTGGAATGCTGAATGATGGCATTTTTTAAAAACTCCATCTTTAATCTGAAAAACACTCTTGCTTTATTATCATTTTTGACACTGGATTCGATGCTGGCTCCTCCATTTCTTTTCAAGCAACGGCTCATTCAAGAGTAGCAAGCTATTATTGCGGTGTATTTACACCTGCAATTCAATGCAACCCCCTGTCGTAAAGGGTAGGATCAGCATACCAAGGACTGTTTTTGAATTTCCTTCGTTCCAACTATTAATTGATATATAAATCATCAATTTACCTTACGTAAACAATTATATACAGGGTGTTCATTTGAAAACGTTCCACACGGATTTATAGAAAACCACTGATTAAAAGAAAAATCGCCGAGACACGTCAAAAGATTTGTCAAGGGGGACACCTTTTTAACCAAAAACTACTTAAATCCCTTTCACTCTCTGCCCCCAGGGTCATCCCCTTAAAAATTTTGAATGACAAAGGGTATCGAGTAATAACTTGTTTGAAAGGTCTTTCGAAGTCCTTTATTTTGCGTTTGATTTTATAAAATCGATCGATTCGTTTTCAAGAAAATTATAAAAAACTTTATTTATCTGAATTCGTTCAGATAGAAAACAGCAACACAGAAAACATAGCATTTTTTATTTCAATAAGTGTTCAAAATGTTTCCTGTTATTGACCAAACAATGATATAGGCGATGTTCAAATTCCTGACGGACATTTACAAAAACATGTTGTGGGATATCATGACAGTCTAAGTCTAATGGCGTCAAATCAGGAGATCTAGCACGCCATTCTATAGGCCCTCTTCGCCCTATCCATTTATCTGGAAACTCGTAGTCTAGCCATTGCCGAACCGGAAGAACATAGTGAGGAAGAGCGCCGTCTTGCTGGAAATACATTTCAGTCTCATCAAGTATAGGGTTTCCATCATCTTCGATTTTCAATGGTTTCAGTGATAAGCGGATTGATGGTATTTTCCAACATATCCAAATAAATGTCTCCGTTCAAGTTTCCATTAATAAACAATGGCCCAATCGCAATGCCTTCCCACACATTAATTTTTTGGAAAAATGCGGAAAAAATTCGGATTTTAATTTGGTTGTCTAATCTTCCGAATTGCTGTTTATGTTGGTAGTTTCCATTTTAAATTATAAACGAATTATATGTAGATTTGGCAAACCTTAACGGGGAACATTTTGAACGCTTATTGGAATAAGAAGTGATATTTTCGTGTGTTTTTGTTTTCTATCTGAAAAATTAAGATAAATATAGATTTAACTAATTTTCTCGAAAACGAATCGACTGATTTTAAAAAATGAAACGTCAAAATGAAGGACTTTGAAAAACCTTTCAAACAAGTTATTACTTGATACCACTTGGCTTTTAAAATTTTCAAGGAAATGACACTGGGGGTGAAGTAGCTTTTGGTGGAAAAGTTGTCCCCCTTGACAAATCTTTTGACGTGTCTCAGCTTGTTTTCTTTTAATCAATGGTTTTTCGACAAATCGGTGGTTGGAAGTTGCATGTATGTAAGAAAATATGGAACACATCTTCCAAAAGAAGAATATTGATATAACGTACTAACCTACAATTTTCATATGTACAAAAACACTGAAATTTGACATCCTGTCTATTTCCGTTTTGAATGAGAGCAATTTTATATTCTAGAACTATGAAGCAGCTTTAAAATGATGATCCCTCATTATATTAAAAGAAAAAATATTCGAATTGGCACCCAGCTGCGATAAAATGTTCAACTGTCTGCGAAAGCTTGGGAAATCTCGAAACGGGAGATACTACAAAATATGTGAATTGAAATAAACATACCTTAGTCCAAAGGTTGATAGTTTGCGAGATACAGGGTGTCAAAGTAACAAATGTATGTTCTATTTTTTCTTATTACTTGAGAAGTATTTCAGATTTTGGCATAAACTCGCTTTTCTGGTATGAGAAAGAAGAATCTGATATTTTTTATGACCTAACTTCTAGACGGAGCCACTTACAACACTATTTCGGTAAATCACTTATCATAACTTTTTTGTGTTACCCTGTATACAACAACTGACCGAAAAATCTTATTTTATCGTATTTCCACAACAAAAAAGGTTCACGTGCTAAAAGTGTCTAAAGCTAATAGTTTTCGAGATATTTGTTTCTAAAAGTTCCAATGCATTTTTGCACCATGATGATAAAACATTTTTATAACGTAATAATCAAGTTGCTTTGGATAATATCTGAGTAGCGTTGCTATCGTTTCTAATGTCATAATATTGCTTTAAACTTCATGAATAATTTTAAGTTGACATTAAGGTGTTAAACGTCATGGAGTATAACGTTTGATAAATATTCTGATATGCATTTAATGTACGGATTGGCAAGACGTAATATAAGAGAAAATAAGATCTTTCGGCCAGTTGTATACAGGGTAGCACAAAAAGTTATGATAAGTTATTTACCAAAATAGTGCTGTACGTGGGGCGCCCTCTAGAAGTTTGGCCATTAAAAATAACCGATTCTCGTTTCTCATACTAGAAAACCTCCCTATACAGACTTTTATGCCAAAATGTGAATTACTTCTCGAGCAATAAGGAAAAACAGAAAATAAAATTGTAACTTTGACACCCTGTATCTCGCAAACTATCAACTTTTGGACTGAGGTATGTTTAGGTCAATTCACATATTTGAGTCTGTAGAATCTCCAGTTTCTAAATTTCCCAACCATAGGTTTTATACATGAATTTCATAAATACGACCTGTTCAAAAAATTGATAGCCGGCGGCCTTTCTGAAAAGCATTGTATATTCATAATTTCGTCTTTAAGTCTGAACATGATACTTAGCTAGTTAAAGCAAATGACGTAATATAAAAACCAAGCCAATAAAGTGTCAAATCACAGCAATAATGTTACAGTGATTGAAATGTAACAAACACTGTGATTAAGATAGCATCATAACGATACGTAAATAGATGGCCATCAAAGAATCAAATATTTTATGCCTGTATATAGTATAAAAGATCTATCGCTATAAAATTTATGTGTCGTCTGGGAATAACGAGGTTCCATTAAATGTTTGTGTCTAAATTAACCCTGCTAGTGTTCAGTATATTGTGTATTGAGCTATTCTGCTGCTAATATTCCATATACCTTGGTTTAGCTTCTGTTGTGAAATTACTATCCTTGACCCATATTGACTTGAAGCTACGTCGATGTTAAAAGACGCTGTTTGTACAGTCTGGGAACATAAAACGTTAGCCAATTAAAAGCTTGAAAGTCGCTTGAAAATAATCTTAAAACACACTTCGAGGTCTTGTAGAGCAAGATTTTAACTTTAACTTAGATAATTTAGCTCATAACTCGAAAACGGTCAACTTTAGAGAAAAGTTACTGGAGGCCTCTTTTGTTCAGAATGAACCAACAAATTTGTCCTGGCAAAATAAGTTTTTGGAATTTATTTAATCAAGATTGTTTACACAAACAGTGTCTGACAATCAACAAACGTGATTGTGAAAAAAATCGATATGAAAATCTGTGAAAAAAATTATCACTATATATCGTGAAAGTCAAACAAATTTCCCACATTTCCCTTCAACGCTCTTTTAAAGCTACAAATTACATTATTAGCCCACCCATGCATTCACAAAATTTGCCTGTCACAATCTGACAACTTCGCACTACTCCCAAAGTTATAGAGAAGCGGTGATAATCCAAGAGCCGACCGCAGTATTTGGTTGCATCGCATACTCAAATGATAATAACTAGGTTAAATATTTATCGCAGCGGTGTGAGAAAACTGAAAATTTGCTGTACCAGGATACTTCGCGAACCGCAACGAAATTTCATAGACCCATACCTAAATAAAACTTCAAAATTTTAACAAAATAACGTTTTTTTCACTCACACTGTTTTTCCCGGTTTTTTTGGATAATTCGACACAAAAAATGCCTCCAGTAGCTTTTCTTCAAAGTTGTCCGTTTTCGAGTTGTAAGTATACTGTCTGAAACCCTAAAAATGGGTATAATCAATGCTGAACAGCTCGGTAAAAAAGTATAATTGTGGAGGTCGCCAAGTATCTAAATAAAGGCGAAAATCTTGCTGTAGAAGGCTCCCAAGAGCATTTCAAAATTAGTTAATTTTGAAGCGATTTTTAATTTTGTTTGTTAGGCCAAAATTAGCTAACTTTCGATTTTCGCCAACGATTTCGAGAAGCCAAGCCTATAGGTACGTTAACATTGCATTGTTCGTCACCAAAATTATGTAGTTATAATAATACTTATCGGTGGAAACAACTACCTCCATTAGGCTTGTACCGCTCTTTACAATTATATAAAAAGTACCATGTCTTTATGTCGTCTAACACCACAATTATCTGAAAGCATTCGCACTTTTAAGATGTAACACTAAATATACGAACTTAACGGCGGAACTGTCAAAAAATTGTCAAATGTCAAGTGTTCTTTATTCCTCTCTGTGAGAATAAAGATTTTCACAGACTACTTCTCATTGACGTGATTGAATAAATAATTGTGAGATTTTTGTTTCAGGTGGTGTTGCCACCCAACCCTGATCCACCTCCTCCTCCAGCCCCTGATCCCGACGCCGATGCTCTGCCATCAGCGGCGGCGTTGCAGAGGGCGATGTCCTGCGACAGCATTTGTTCAGACACTTCGGTGGCACTGGGCGACTTAGAAATTCTCAACGTTACAGGGTATCTCTGTATTGGCCTAGAGTATGACAGGTTAGTTTTAATTTAAGTCCGATAGTTTTTTGAACATCTGCCCTCTGACAAAGGGATGCATCCGCAATTACGGAGTATCCGCATTAGTTTGAACGTGGCATCTGTTTTTATCAATGATGTTCATACGGATGCGGATATAAAGGTCTTTTCAAGGTTTTTGGCATGTCCATGAGTTACGTGAAAGAATAGCGGTTGCTAAACTGCGCCCAAATAAAGACTATTATTATTATCATTATTATATACAGCCGGTCTTTATGCGCGGAAGTTTGTTTGCAGACATACGTTTTGTTTGTTTTGTCTCACCGCATTAAATATTTTCTGGACAACGTATGGGCCTTCTACATGTATGTTTGTATAATTGTCAGTATGATCACTTGTTTTTCGTGGATCTTAAAATAAAATAAAGTAATGTCTGATTTATTTATCTTACAAATTGAAAAAGGATAATGGTAACATTTTTCAAGCCTAGGGCATTTAAGGTTTTTATATAGATAATTTATAAACGTCTAAAGTAAATGATGCTTCACATTACAAAGCAAACATTGACAGCTTCTTAATACATGTACAAATAGTTATTATTCGTATTTTTTAATCAATATCAAAATCGGATCTAGGTAAGGGTACTTTTTTCTAATATGATAAAGGTGGTAGATGTCTGCCGTATAGAAAAACTTAAAAGTTTTGTGATGGAAATAAATTGTATCATTCTGGCTGAAAAACTGCCTGGAACTTTAGACGGACCTTAAAGGAATTATTTTTCTTTACAGCGAATGCTGGGACTTAATAGTGAACGTCCTAGAAGCAAAGAACTTGACAGGCGTCGCAAAGAAAAACGACTTCTTGGACACTTACGTCCGAGTTTCGCTGCTTCCAGACACTGAAGCAACAATACAGACCAAAGTATATCGTAGTGCTGGTAGTCCTAGTTATAAGGTGAGTAAGAAATCCAGTTCAAGAAAAATATCTTTAACTTTCACAACAATGGAATCAAATAACCAAAGAAGCTTTTCACGCGTATCAATATTCTTCTCGATCAAATTAATCTGCTTATATGCGATGCAACAGCAAAGCTTTATGGAGTATAAACACCATCTGCTCATGGGACTTCAAGAAAACGTTGAGTTTGCATTACTCAGAGGCTGGTGACATTCACCATTTTTTGTGGATGTAAGATCAGGGGATAGCTGTCACACTAAATAATTAATTGTAATTAAACGAAACTGATCCGAGCGGGCATGCATATCATTATTTCATCAAAAAAAGAAAATCAGAAATGTTAAACGCCATTATTTCTTGGAATGTAACTACTCTGGCTGGCACGACGGTACAACTGACGAAAATATGAAGCATGGTAATTTTGGAAATTGAAGCCCTTATAATTTTTCGTTGACTATCATCTAATCTAAGCGAAAAACAGGCATCAGCTTCGCGATCAACTGAAATTACACCAAAAACGGATTTTGGTCGAACTTACAGTTACATGAGAAATTTTGAAATATTTTTTCAAAAATATACATACGTATATACATTCCAATTTTAAATCATTTCAATACAAAATTCTCATTACCATCCTCCGTAGCTACTATCACGAATATCACCATTTGAATCTCCTCAAGTGTAGCTAAGTTCTATTTGAAGTAGCAAATGGGCTTTGATAAGTCTGCAATCAATCTAAGCTAAAAACTGACGTCATATTCGTGATCTACGCACACAATTTATCCTAGCTACGATTTGCAATCAAAATTACAAATACGCAAAAAATTTTGAAATATTTCTGCAATGTTATCCCTCTAAACTTTCTAAATTTCTCACTGGCAGGATCCTACTTGATTTTTTCACATTACAGACAATCAAAGTTAGACTTAAAAATTTAGAATTCAGATTAATTTTTGTGTAAGTTTCTCATTAATTTAAGTCAAAATGATGGTAGTTGGAATAAAATAATTGTGTTGTAGAGCAGAAAATGTATCATCTGTAGAAATTACACGAGATTAAATGTGGGATGACTAGCTTTGTAACCAAAAAGATTAAACGCAAAAAATCCGGAATACTACACTACTCAAACAAATTAAAGGAGCAAGAAACAAATTCAAATTTTTCAGTGATTGTTGACAGGTTGTATTTCGGCGAAAAATACTTTATCGAGACTTTAAAACAATCATTTTGAAACTTCAAGATTCTAATTTTAGGTTTTTAGCCAAAACATTTCAAGAGTAACGGTGCTTGTGCAATTATAACAGGGATTTTTTTGGTCCACAGGCTTAGTGCAACGCCATTATATGGGGCAGTTATCTCGTTAATTCAGCTTCAATATTCTTTTCAAAAATCTCAATACGATCATTTGGCGCGAAAAAATCTGTCTTTTAATGAAAAAGGGTAATTTTGTCATCGACCCCGGAGATCTCGGTAACCAGTGATCGCACAGAGAATGCAAGGATCTTTCCGAAAACTGACATAAACCTCCTATAAGGTTTGATTGCAATCATCGATTAAGATTCATCTTGCTTCCTTAATACTGATTTTAAGAAAGTCAAAAAAATGTACTTTTTTCCTTGTTTTGGAAAAGTGACCGCTAATGAAAAGGGTAACGTTCTTAGGTTTCTTTTATACCTCGATGTAAAATGAAAAATCATTTTCCTTCTTTTGTTGTCACTATTGGATATCTGTAACGCTTCAATTTTAAAAATAGCAATTAACATTGCATTATTTTATTCATGAGTTATTCCAAAAAACAAAAATACTAAGCAGTGGTATATTTAAAAAATAATAAGGGTACAATTGAGGTATAAAAAACCTAAAAGCCTTCTCATTAGCATATAGTCCAAAACAAGGCAAAAAGTAACTTTTTTGACTTTTTGAAATCAATACGGTCACTAGTTTCCAAGATATCGGTGGTCGAGGGCAAAAGGGTTTGTCTTTTTTCATTCAAAAATGATCGTAACAAAATTTTAACCAGGATATTGACGACGAGTAAACGGGCTATCTGATCCATGTGATGGCTTAACAGAAAAAAGTTCAAGCTTGTGGACTAAAAAGAAGAAGGCAAACATTTTGCAAAAATTTTCCTTGCGCTATCTGTTAGAATTGTATGAGAACCGTTGATTAAAAATTTTTCAGCTAAAAAACCTGAATGCTAGAGTCCTGAAGCTTCAAAATTACTTTTTTATAGTCTAGATACGACCAGCTTTCAAAAATACAGACTGTCATAAATCACCGAAAAATTTGGAACTTTTTCTTGCTCCCTTAATTCTTTTGAGAAGGGCATAAAATTTTTATCGAAACAAAATGTTTTCAAATAGGCTCACGTGTCCTGTTGAGTATTCCTATTCAAAATGGTATAATCGCACATATTTTTGTCTGTTAGTAAATTTTAAAAACATAGTCAACTCCCACTGGTTCCTACCAGGGAATTAGAATATTTTGAAACTAAAGTTCAAAGCACTATCGGAATGACGGTGAAATGCAATGTATACATGTTTCCATATGAACGGAATAAAGCTGACGAAATTAAATTATACTGTGTACAGCGAAATGTGTGTATGCATTAAATATATTTAAAATGCGCCGCACGGAAAATCTCGTGCACACGCCTACGATATTAAATAGTTTCGCGCGGATTTAATGAAACCAGAGTTTCATGCTGTTTTACACGAGGCGCGATGGGAACTGGGGAAACATTTTTAGACTTGTTCAGGCCTCGTATTAAATACGTCGTGAGATTAATAAAGGCTGGTTTGGCACGTAACCAGAGTAAGATGAGAAGATCGGATGCCCCTTGAAATAGCGTCAAGTATTTTCACCCAATACTTCTTATAGCGCTCGATTTTCAAAACTGACTAACAAAAATTGTAATGAATTTGTAAATTTTAAAATATATATACATCAGGCAAAAGCTCAATATAATGAGAAATTTAAATATTAACTTTTCTCACCTCCAAAGATTAATATCCGTAAATGTCAGGGGTGGATTTAGATAGATAGATATTTATTCATTGACCATCCGATGATAATATTCAACACGTCATGACTACACCGCGACTAAGTATACATCAAGTCATTGCAACAACCATTTAAATGCTTACATACACAATATTATAAAAACAAGCCTAAAATGAATAAAATACAGTGTGACAGAAGCAGCTTGAAACGAAAAGTAAATAATTAAAGTACATAAACAAGTGAAAGTATAAAGATTATCAAAGCTTCAACCCTAACAAATATTGGAATCACTGAGATATTCACTGACTGAATGTAGCTCTTTTGTACTAATATTGTTGTTTCTTCTAAATAATGGTGTGAGGGAGTTCCTTTACGCTTGACGACAGTTTATCAAAACATCTTGTGCCCGTATATATTTAGGAAGGGAAATGGTGGTATGCAGTTGCGCTCCCAAGATTCATGTCTAGGAAGATGAAGCAATATGTTTAAATTTGTTGGGATATCTAGAGGGCCCGGACGTCTAGGGATTGGGTAGAGTGCAGGCCACTTCAGTTCTAGGTCGAGGAAGGTTATTTTTATTTTATATTGGAAATACTTGTCGGCCCGTGTGTCAAGAAGGATACGCTCTCCATTGATGTTTTGGCAGAAACGATCTTATAGATCCTCTTACTTGGTGAAAATCCTCCATCATCTGAACGAGTAGTGCGATTTGTTGAAAACTGACAGATTGACGATTGTTTGGGAGTAAAGATAAAAGCATCTCCGATTTTTTACTGTGGAACTTTGTACAACAAATTTTCGAAAAGTATGAAGCATTTTACGATAATTAAGATAGTAATTAAAATTTCAGGTTATGTCCTGATCAAGGTTTGGCCAGCTGTTCTCTTTCAACTTTGAGTAAGCCAAACATTCACTGATTTGATAGCCTCATCTCTGTTTAGGTCATCTCATTTCATTTGCAAAACGTCTTAAAGACGGAGACGGAGTAAATGTCACGAAATCTTTCTTCGCCTGTTCACAATATTCTCCTATATGACGTGCACATAAGCACATAAACAACACTTCAGGATTTTTTTGTTCCGTCTATACTTTTTATATCCTCACTCACTCGATCAACTTGAACGTAAGCCTATCCCGGTAGACAATGAAACCTGAATAACGAAGCTTTAAGCTACCTAGATAGAAAATCGATCGCATCACTTCGTAAATAGTTGCGGAATTCAGCCTTGTTTGGAAATCCCTTAAGCCTTTCCGCTAGAGAACCACGTCCCTTCTGTATACAATATCTGCTAGAAAAATGAAAACAGCGAGGCACCGTCGTAGTTGCTTCAAAGAATTCCACAAATTCCGCATGAAATATTACATTTACCTACTGGAAAGGTAGAGGATGTATTGGTTCGTACAGTTACATTTCGAGTTGATGCAAAATTTTTGTAATGCTTCTTCTCTGAAATATTTAATATACTGCGTACGAGACTATGTGTATGTCCAGAGAAAAACTGGAACTATGCAACTCCTACCAAAGATGAGCTTAACTCACTTAAGACACTAACATTCTATAATTTTCTTCAAAGAATTTATCATGTGAAGTTTTGTACAACAATAGTTTGACACTGTTGTCTCCAGTAAAATGCAAATTTAATTGCTGTCATATCAATCTAGATTTTGTATCAGCTTTTTTTTCTTAATAATGGCCCGCATTCAAACTAAATGCACGTAACATCTGACATTTAATAATAGCTGCTACTAGAGTAAATATGCACATTCACCATTTTTTTTTTAAATATATTGCATACTGCAACATTGAACATTCTCCTTTTTTTACAATATCGCTTTCCGTAACCGATTTGTTGTTTCTAAGTATATGTCGAAAATATTCAAAAGTTCTTATCTAATGCTTGGGAAATCATGCTTTCGCCTGACTCTATGTAGTATGATTACATTGGTTCTGGCTAAACGAAAAACGATCAAAGTGTTTCAGTGAATATGCTGAT